GAAATATGTATAATATATAATATATTGTACATATAGACAGGTAAGATCATATATAGAAATATATAATAAAATATATACGATATATATAGTATATGTTTATATACAGAATATATTGGAGATAATATTTTAAAATATTATAAGACATATAAACTACACATTATTTAGATCATAGATAATGTACAATATTTTATATATCTTACATATATGTATTCTGTATTGTTAAAGGGAGTCCTCTGTGATGAGAGAAGGCAGAGTAGTTTGAGAGCTGACCACACTGGCCTACACCATTACTAGGGCAGCTGTGCCAGGATGATATTTAGAGTCCACATTCAGATTGAGCTACCAGGTAAGATTGTTGCAGAGATCCAATGAATAAAATTATTATCTCTGCTTACCAAGAAGAGGTTGATTCAGGAAAGTTCCATAAAGCTAAGCAAGAGGTAGTAATGGGATGAGGGCTCTGATCAAAGTCCAATCTGACATTTGGCTGTGTGTGTTTTATGTTCAGAATCCAGGGACCATTTCTATTTAGCATAAATAAAGAAAAGGAAAACCAACCTGATTAAGTCCTTGGATTTTAAACAGTCAATTCATACTAGTGGCCTTACCAACAGTAATATTTATTATGTAAAATTTATAACCGATGGTAGGCATGTAGTACAACATTTTTAACAGCTTTAATTTCAGAAAATATAGATTTTTTTTTGTGGGGAGAGGGTCAGTCGTGGAGCTTGAACTCTGGGCCTGGGCACTGTCCCTTAGCTCTTCAGCTCAAAGCTAGTGCTCTATCACTCTAGCCATAGCACTACTTTCTGTTTTCTGGTGGTCTATTGGACATAAGAATTTCATGGTCAGGCACTGGTGGCTCACGCCTGTAATCCTAGCTACTCAGTAGGCTGAGATCTGAGGATCACAGTTCAAAGCCAGCCTGGGCAGGAAAGTCCGTGAGACTCTTATCTCCAATAAACCACCAGAAAACCAGAAGTGGTGCTGTGGCTTAAGTGTCTGTAGAGCGCTGGCTTTGAGCTGAAGGGTGCAGAGACAGCACTCAAGTGCCCAGAGTTCAAGCCCCATGACTGACAAAAAAAGGAATAATAATTTCATGGACTTTCCTGGACAGGCTGACTTTGAACCACGATCCTCAGATCTCAGTCTCTTGAGTAGCTAGGAATACAGGTGTGAACCACCAGCACCTGGCAGAAAATATAGAATTTTATATCTTCTTTACCCCACAGGCTAACATGTAGAATATAATTTGTGTGATCAGAAACTAATTAGAAGGCTGGGTGTGATGGTACATACCTATAATTCTAGCATGAAGGTGGATGAGGCAGGAAGATCATGATTTTGAGACCAACCAGGAACATAATGGGTTCTAGGCCAGTCTACACTAATTAGTGAGAACCTGTTTCAATTATTTTTTCTGAATCCAGTAAAATAACTAAAATTTCTCAGACATACTGTGTTTGCATAGACATTTGCATATAGACATACCAGCCCAGGATGGTTTCGAATCTAGAGGCTCAGATGTCAGCCTTCTGAATAGCTAGGATTATAGGCATGAACCATTGGGCATCTAGCTTTATACATATATACAAATAATACCATATTGTGTATATATATATATATATATATATATATATATAAAATGTAGATATGTCACAGCTAATCTGTTTTCCAATAATTGAAAAAAAAACTTTTGGAAAGCTAGCAGACATCTTGCTTTGTGAAATCATTGACCATCAGTTTTTGTGAAGTACCGTCATCAAAATAATGAATAATGTTACCTGCTAATCAGAAACAGAGCATTTAAAATATTATTCTACAATAAATACTTTGTGTTGTTAGTAAGTAAAAATCAATCAATACTCAGGTAAATAGGTTACTTTATAATACATTAGAACAGTGAGACAGAAAACCAAAAACCATCTAAAGCAAATTTACAATGGGTTTATTATAATCCAGGCAAATGGAATCTGTCTTTGGACTAAAAGCTCTATTTTTAGAATAAAAATAATTGATAGGAAAAGTATAATTTTTTTCTCATGAATAGTTTTCTCATTCTTATTTCTCTTCTATCCATTGTTAAATAGAAACAAGTTTTTTATTTTGAGTGACATTTTATGAAACAAAAATTGGCAATTAATACTTGACAAGAATACATGATACATTGATGAAGACTTAAATCGGATACTATTCTTGATTTAATTAAAGTGAAATAATCAATAATTGTATTTGTGAGACAATTTGAGTAAAGAATAATGGGGGAAGGAAAAACTAACATGTTTAAATGTTTAGGAAGCATTTTAAAACTTATAAAAAGCACGTCACTTAATACCATGAGACAGAATTTAATACACCATTCTAGGGAAATACATATATTAAATATTGAGTCAACAATTCTGAAGTAGATAAGGTTAAAATCACAATATTCTTAAATCTGATATTTTCCCTGACTTATTGTAGTACAGTATGCTACAACCTAGAGTCTCTTTGTCATTTTACTTGAGGTGAAGATGAATTATATAAGTAAATGTATTTTTGTCAAATTACATAATAAATATACACACTGATTAAAATTATTGAGAATAACAGAGTAGTCAAATGTGGTGAAATTTGTTTTCAGATATTGCAGTTAGTTTGTATATCTATATTATTGAGAAAAATAAGAAAAAAACAGAAAATTGGATTATATTTTAAAAAGTTGACACTCAATTATACCAGTTTTACTTGATATGAAAATATTTCTCCTCCATTCTGTTACTATTTTTGTTTTCCTACTTGAACAAAAAAGGCAAACTATGTGAAGAAATAAAGAATAAGAGTCTTTGTGATAGTGTATGCTTGTAATTCCAGCAGAAGCAGACAAGAGAGTAGCAAATTTGAGGCCAGGCTGGAACATATTGGGACACCATGTTTCGAAACACAAAAGCAACAACAACAGAACAAAAGAGCGTGAGAGACAGAGACATATAGACAAAGACAGAGCAAGGAAGAAAGGAAGAACAAAAGGAAGAGCTAGAACATAAACTAAATTAAACTAACAAATAAAGCAATAGAACAATAGAGATGTATGTACACAAGTATACTTTCTTTAGTGTGTTTAATTCAGTGCAACAAAGTTCATGTTCACTTAAGAGACAGGGTTGGGCATTTGAGCCCAATAGTTAGCAAAGCAACCACAAAGATAAATATCAATTCATATTGACCCATGCTCCAGAAAAAAAAAAAATCTTCCATGTTTTTTTTTTGAAAAGGATCAAGAGAGTCTAAGTAGGCAGGGGGAAAAATAGGATTTTTTTTTTCATGAAATATGAGTGGAAAGTTGAATTTTGAAATAAAATATGAAAAAACCCTATGTTCAATCAACCCTCTATTTTGACTTGCTTGCTTAAAAACAAAAACAAAAACCAAAAAAGAAACAAAGACCTTCCATTTGTTATTGCATTATTGCAAGCCTAATTTCTAAATTATAGTAAAAAGATATTATTTATAACCTATAGAAAAATTACTCTGGAGAAGGGATGGATTGATGGGTGATGTTTCCACAGTCAGTTTGATTTACAGTTCCACTGGAATTTTCCCTTCATGTATCACTGAAAAGATTAACAAAGCCTTAATATATCATCATTGACAAATGCGATAAAAATTCAAGTAGTGTGCCAATAACCTCCAAAGGAGGTAGGAGCCTATCGTTCTAAGACAGAAAGAACATCAGTTCTCTAGAAATTAATGTTTGTGTTTGTGCATATGTCAGAGAGAGAGAGAGAGAAAGAGAGAGACAGAGAAAGAGAGGGAGAGAGACAGAGAGAAAGAAAGGAGACAGAAAAACTGGGTTCCAATGGGAGAACAGATGTTTGAGCAGGTAAGTTTTAGATTATATATTTAAAAATAGACATTAAAATCAAAATCTTCTACAGTAGTTGTACTGGCTAGGTAAAAACTCCATGCTCTGTAAAGAAGCTACACCACCTCCGTGGAGGTTTACATTAGTGTCTCATTTCTTACCAATAGCTAGTTTTTCCCAGTGTCCCTTTGACCAAACGTCTCTAACAAGTCTTGTTGAACCAGCATGCCAAATTCACTGACGAAGGCTCACCCTGCAGATCAAATAGTCAGAGCCAGTGAATGTGGAGCCTTTCAGGTAGTCTCCTTCAACAAGAAGAAAACCAACGAAAAGACATGGGAGCCGGTGACTTCAATAACTTTTTAGAAAGTCAAGAACATTCATTACAGGATGTAGAGAAGCAGGGGAAAATCTATGGGCTAAATATAATAATAATAATAATTCAAAAACAAGAATAGAGTATTATAGTTTCTTTTCTTAAAAAACAAGTAAGATTGTCCAGTGCCAGCAACTCAGGTTTGTAAATCCTAGCTTCTCAGGAGGCTGAGATTCAGAGAATCTTTCTTGAGGCCAGTCAGGCAGAAAGGTCTGAGCGACTTCATGTTCAGAGTAATCAGCCAAAAGCAAAGCTGGGCTGGAAGTGTGGCTCAAGTGGTAGAGTGCCCGTCATGTAAATATGTTGAATGAATGGAAGATCAAGCCCCCATACCACCAAAAAAGGAGAAAAATATTTTTAAGCTAATAAAGGGAAAATATGAGCCCTTAATCCAGCTATTGGGTTACCACTAAACTCATTTACAGATACTGCAGGTCTTATTATTTCCTTACAATTTTAATTAGCTATTTGCATATCAGTAGCATTACTGATGAACAGAGGGACCCAGCTTTATGATGCTCCCCACAACGGGAAGAGGATATTACCACATAACCCCGTGATTTGGTTCTGAAGAGTTTACATAGTGATTAATGCTAAGAATCGCCAATGCGTGCAGGTAGGACAAATATCATTTTAGAAAAACAGACCGAAGTAAGTCTATTCACACAGTCCTCCACCGGCAGTCACAGGTGCATGTTGGGATAAAAAGCTGTGGGGTCTGGTTTGTCTACTCGATTGTAAAGCCAGATTTGTGAGAGGCAAGTTCTTCACTCAGTGCTATCTCACTTTTTGCAGCTCCTGTCTCAGCCAGGATGGCAGAGGCTGGCCCAGTCTATGTAGCAGTTTAGACAGTTCCACGTTGTGATCCCGGTAGTAATTAGACAGGAAGGTTCTGGACTGGAAAGGAAAAAGAAACAGAAGACTTGAAAGATGCCCATTCGTTTCTCCCTAGTAGCAACTGTCAGTCACTTGCCTCTTTCCTTTCCCTGCCTTGCCTTGGGCAAAACACTCATGGTGTCTGGCTGAGGACATCGTTGGCTGGTTTTCCCACTCTAGAGTGATATATAAGGCATTTCTCCATATATGTTCTCTTCTGCTGAGAACTTATTTGCCTATTCATACTTCAGTCATTCATACTTCAGTCATTATTTTATACATCTTATAGCTCAGTTATCGTGATGAATTTATTCATTCTACGGTAGTCTGAGATCATCACTGTTGCATCCTGTATCTTCCCCATGGCTTAGTTCCATATCAATCATAATATTGGTCTTCTAGCTATGTATTGAATGTATTGCCAGCAACAGTGGCTTGCACCTATAATCTATCTACTCAGGAGGCTGAGATATGAAACATCCTGATCAAAGCCAGCCTGGGAAGAAAAGTCCAGGAGATGCATATATTTAATTAGCCAGCAAAAGGCCAGAGGTAGAGTTGTGGCTCAAATGGTAGAGCATCAATCTTAAGTGAAGAGGCTCAGGGGCAGTGCCTATGCCCTGAGTTCAAGCCCCAGTATGAAAACAAAAAGTAATGATAATAATAATATATTAGTGGTAAGTTTATATCTTATGCCACATCAATTTGTTGTTAAACAATTAATTTATTTACACAAGATTATGTAATATATTTCTTGGAAAATGTGTATTATCCATAAATGTCATAAATGTTCTACAAAGTATTTGACTCTAATTTTTCTCCAAGTATTGTTCATTATTATCTTTGAAAATAAATTTGGCAAAAACATAATTGTAAAATTAAAATAGGTCCAGGTATATCCTCAGTGGCTTATCTATCATTATTGTACATATTCATTGAGAGAAATTCAATGTCTACACAGAAAGAAAATTACAACAATGTATAATACCAAAGATAAATGAACACATACCTCAGGAGACACTAAATTTACAGAAGTGAACCAGATAAAACTATACACATTACCTTTAAAAATGACCCCAAGAATAAAAATTAGAAGTGAACATAAAATCAAAATTCACGATTACACAAATAACTTGCCACATTACATACATGTTTCCTTTATTATTTCAGGACTCATTCACTCAAACTACTGAGATTGTTCCTCATCAGACAAATGGTTAAGATGAATTATAAAATATCTGAATGGTTTTAGTTTCATATTTAACTTTTCCTTTTACAGTGGTTTTTGGAAATCTGAAAGCTTGTAACTTTGGATGTTCTCACATCATATTTTAACTCAATAAAAATAGTTGCAGAACTATGACAGAATAGTAGAGAACAGTTATCCTCTACAGACTATGAAGAAAATCAAGGCTTACACAGCATTTGTCCATCTGGTCATATTGTCTCTCTAATCCCTTCCTAAGACTTTAACACAAAGAAATGGTTTTCTTCATAAAACTCCATTAGAAACTTTTGTATACATTATATGAGTAGATTGAAAACAACTGCATTTCATCTTTCATTCTGTGTCTTCCCTTAAGTAGATTGTAAGAACTTCAAGTCTGAGACGGTGTTTTCCAGTAGTTGTGGGAAAATTACATTTTCTTTATTTTAAGAGATTAAATTTCTTGTTTTTTTTATTTTTCAATCTTTGCTTTCCTTTTTTTAATTGTGAAAATATTGTACAGAGGGGTTACAATTACATGGGCAAGATAATGAGTACATTTCTTGTCAAGCATTGTAGCCTCCTCCTTTGTTTCTCCTTCCCATCCCTTCCTTTCCTCCCCTGTCCCCCCCCAGTCCTCCTCCCCTCCTCGCCCCCCCCACCAAAGTTGTCAAGTTCGTTTTCGACATAACATCTTGTACGTCTCATTGTTGCAATGGGTCCACCTGTATCCCTATTTAAACGATTTGTTTTTCCCCTTCCCCTCCACAAATTATACCAACATCAAATACAGTGAAATCGGGGGTTATACCGTGGGGGAGGGACATACAAAGCAACAAAGAAATAATCTTATAAGTGTGTTAGAAACAATCGCATGAAAGAAAAATACATTTGAATACGTATCTTAGGATTCATTTCCCTTACATCAACTTAAGCAGATTAGATTTCTGAGAATATTTTGAACTTTTTCAGTTGACAGGTATAGTTTTAAGACCTTCTGGTTCTGTTTACTGCATGGTGACATCTCAGTCACCTGCATCCTATCTTTCCTCACTTGCCTCAGGAGAAATACTCAGAGTAGATTGTTTGGTGGTTTTCTAACTTTTGTCTAAACACATAGGCATTTTCCCATGTCTACGTACGGGCAATACCTTTGTTTGTGTAATGATATCAGGGCTTATATCCTAAGCCTTGTGCTTTCAGGCATCTTTCTTCTTCACATGTGATGCTCTACTATCTAAGCTACACACCCAGCATTTTGCTGATTAATGGGAGATGAAGTCTCTGAGACTTTTCTGCCTACAATGGCTTTGAATGGAGATCCTATAGATCTCAGCCTACAGAGTAGTGAGGGTAACAGGTGTGAGTCACTGGGATATAGCATATCTCATTTTTGTTGAGTTTTCTTTTCCTGTCTTTTCATAGTTCAGTTTGTCATTAGATTATGGGTCTGATCATAGCTCAGTGACCATAACCAAGTTATCTACCTTATAATAGTCTGAGTCTGTTGTTGTTTTATCCTTTGCTTAGTTTGATATTAATCTATGGGCTGTGGATATATGTATTGAATGTATTAGTATATATATTATTTAAAATCCCTCACGTGCTGTACAACTTAAGTGCCTTACACAGCTCAGAAAGTGTTGCTTTGTAGTAAACACTTATATTTGAATTGAATTCCAACAGGTAACAATTTATAGAGAAACTTAATCAGCCGTTTGTCCATATTCCCTTCTAAATATATAGAACTATTGATGCCAAAGAAAGAGCAGAGTAAAAAAAAGCAAATTTATCTTGCTACCTTTGAAGTGGCTGTCCTTATAGACTTTTGGCAAAGTAATTTGGACTAAGAAGCATTACCTCTTGATCCATGGGTGGGTATTTTCGGCCTTTGCTTTTCCCAAGACATTTGGTCTTTCCTCCTTCTAGTAGTTGACACCAAAACCCCTTTTGGGGATCAAATCTACAACAGATAATACATACACTGATGATAACATACAACATACACTGTTGCTTTGCTTTACCATCATTCATTTTTTTAATGTTCAGCTGATCTGAGTGAAGCTAACCAAGAGTCCAAAAAGTCTACATAGTTGAATAGATTTACGTAATTGTACTCTGAAAAAAAGCATATGGATTTCCAATCCAATTTTCTGTTGAAGTGATTAAGTTCCATATTTTATTTACGAATCTACCAAAAAAGAGACCAGACATCAACAGTACAGTTCATACCTATGTAAAGGTTCTAAAGACATTTTTATTTACTTGTGATTTCCCTGTCAAAATATATTGACATATTTTTCACGTCATTCAATGGCGTTCACTAAAATGGCTGAATATAATATAGGTTTACTACTCTGAAAATATATATAATTAAGCTCCAAATTTGGAAAAATTATGCGCTCTTTTCTTTTGCAGTTCAAATGATTACACGTTTCATAAAGTAAATCAAATTTGAAAATGTATATGTAAATATATATATAATTTATTTAAAAAATATATGATTTATCACTTATCTTTTTGACAGAATGAGATATTGGCAATAAAAATGATGGGTACAAGATTAGACAACCAATTTTTGAAGGGAGATAATCTTGTTAGAGGATTAATTTCCCTATACTCTTCAGGAATTTTCTAATGCTGTTTTAATCTCAGGGCTGCAACTAAGTTACAAAACAAAAGATGGGTAGCCTAATTATGTGTTTTTTTTTAACTCAAATATAGAAGAATTTTTGTTTAAGACTAACAAGATAGGAAAACTGAAAGAATGAACCAAATAAGGGAAATTTCAAATTTATTGCTATGGGACTTGCTGCATGCATAAAACATTGAAAAGGTTTGCATTTTTGTTGCTCAGCAGATGTTTTAGAAGGATGAAGCATAATTGACTGGGATGTAAAGTTAATTAGTTGCAGGATATTTTGTTGCCCTGGGCCCATTCCTGTAACACCGGTGCACCTGCAATTTGCCTCTGCGCATATGTGAACTCATTTAGGGTGAGAGAGAAGCCTTTTTCATAGTTCTCTGCCTAGTCTATTATTAGAGCCCCAATCCTCACAGTCCAAGTTGTCCTAGTACATGTTATCAATTAAAATTAAATACATCACTAGTTAAATGGACGAAAGGAAGACAGAGTCATTTCAATCTGTGCCTGGCCTATCATAGTTCTTTTTTCTAGTTTTCATTAATTTTCCAAGAGGAAAAACAACATGGCATACAAAAATTAGATGGGGAAAAAGTTATAACAGTGCCCTACACAGTATTTTCTGCCTCAGAATGAGAATATTCAACTGAATGAAGGTAGACTACAACACCAGTAACAAAGTCAAAATAATTATACACCCAGTGAGAACACCTCATTGACTTTCAGGTAGAACCAAGGACTCGTGGTGGGTTTTAGATTCTCGGCTCTGCATGGCAGCTGTTGTGAGCAAGGGCTTGTATAAACCAGAGGAAGAGGCAACTAGAACATTTGAAATTATTTTCAAAGATATGGGTACCAAATGTAGAACTACCTTATGATCCAGCAATTCCACCCTTGGACATCCATCCAGAAGAAAACAAAGTAGAATACAGTAAGGCCACCTTCCCAACCATGTTCACTGTAGCACTATTCACCATAGCTAAGGGAGGGAAACAGTCCAGTTGTCCCTCAAGAGATGAATGGATCAAGAAAATGTTATCTCTTTCTTTCTCTTTCTCTCTCTGTATATATGTTACACACACACACACACACACACACACACACACACACACAATGGAATTTTACACATCCATTAGAAAAAATACTATTGGGACCTGGAAAAAAATCATGTTAACTGACCCAAGTCAGGCTCGGAGAGACAAAGGATGCATGTTTTCTGTAATATCTTGAAGCAAGAATTAATTTATAAGTATGTAAGTAAACCCTTCAAGGCGGTATATAAGTGGACACAAATGTATTAACTGAAATGTGGTAGATCCCGGAGAGAGCTCAATGGTGTAATTCCTTTGAAAGGCTAACTCACTCTCCAACAAAATAAACACCAGAAAATGAATACTCAGCAGGGGGAGAGGGTCTAGGGGAGGAGTGGGGAATGAAGAGAGGACTGTTGTGGAGAATTAAGTCATAAAAATCAACTCATATTCTACAAACCTAAGAAGATTAAGGAAAGGCGTGATTTGGGAGGGATGGGGGAGAATGTTGGATGGGGTGACATTGATCAAGATGCATGACATCTATAAGCTGCTTTGTTGAATGGTGACTCCTTTGTACAGCTATTTAAAGTTAATAAAAATATTTTTAAAGGGTGAAGTAATTCAGCAGTGATACTCACTAGACACTATGCTGAAAATCAACTATACAACTTGGGGAGGAGGGTTTTCAGGAGGGAAAAATTGGGAGAAAATTAGGGAAGAGGTGATAGTGTTGAAAAAGAAATATACTCAGTACCTGACCTATATAACTGTCACCCCTCTGTACATAACATTTACAATACAAATTAATTAAGAAAGAACAAAATATTTTTAAAAGGTGCAGTTCCTATAACCTTGAAACCATGTGCTTTGCTTTCCAATCACTTTCAATATGCTATGTATAACAAAGGGTATTTATTTTCTCTAAATTTGAACAATTCATCTCATCACGTTTCCATTTTAGTAGGCATAAAATTATGGATTAAATTGCAAAACCTTTTACACGTAACTGTGAGAGAACTTCTGGGACATGAGTTGGCTGGTACTTGCTTTTCTAATTTATTATACTTTGCTCACTATATTACCTTTTTGTGATGAGACACAATGCATGATTTTTACAAGCCTATTGAGCCATTAGTAAATATTTTCAGTACATAGCATAGAGTCGTTACCAAAACAATTGACTGCCAAAAGGCAGGGCAAGATAGGGCAACGTCGATGATTATAATGTAAAACATATTATAAGGAACTTTGTCTCCTTAATCAACATGAGTGGGCATTCTCCATGTTGCTATTTCCATGTGTGGGTATAAACTTCATTAGGTTGTTTTAGTGGATAAGAAACAACCCAATCTTATTACCGTTTTTCCTGTCCCTCCATTACCCTCTCTAATTGTCTAATTGCTGAGTCTAATTTGCTATGAACTGGGAAATTACATAATCAGGCTTGTTAGAGTTTCATCTAAAATTTAATTGGCTTTATCTCAGACTTTGTGAGGGAGTCTTTTATGAGTAAACTCCATGCCCTTTTCAAATCTGTTTTGATGGCTTCACAGTTTGATTTTTGTTTTATTTTGCTTCTGTACGTTCTCACCCACCTCTTTACTCTAAGTTACCTTAACTTTGGGTCTATTTTCTTAAGTTGAAAGTAACATTATCTCTTATCTAGCATGCTCCTCTGTCACTACAGATGGCAACGTTTGGCCTACCCTTGTCATTAAGAGCTTTCATTTCCCTATTCTTGTATTTTTTTTTTAATGCTAAAGCAATTGTTCCTCTTTTTTAATTTACTTGTTTATTCTTTTGTCTGTTGTGTGGCTTGAACTCAAGGCCTGGGCACTTTCCCTGATCTCCTTTTGCTCAAGGCTAGCACTCTACCATTTTGAACCCCAGCACCACTTCCAGTTTTCTAGAGGTTACTTGGAATTAAGAGTCCCATGGACTTTCCTGTCTGGACTGGCTTTGAACCATAATCCTCAGGTCTCAGCCTCCTGAATAGCTAGGATTACAGGTATGAGCCACCAGCACCCTGCTTTTAAATATTTGTACAAAGGGGTTTCAATTTGACCTGTAGCTTTGTGAGTATAATGCATTTTGTTCAATGTCACACTTTCATAATTCTTCCCAGTCTCTCCCAATTTTCCTAGTTCCTCTTTCATATATGTACATTGAATATTATGACTGTATTCACTCAACCTTCCTCTTTCCCTTCTTCTATCCTTCTCTTTTCTCCTCCTTCTTGCCAACGAACTGTAAGTTAGTTGTTCAATGGAGTAACACTACTGGGATTCTCTCCTGAATATACCATATTTTAGTTAATATATGATTCTGTATCACCTATGATCCTGTATGTTTTGCATACTGTTTCCAATTTAGATCTAACCTCCATTTTTGATAGAAAACACATGTGCTTTGTCTCTCTGAGCCGGACTTACATTTGGACTGACCTTAGTGATCATGGCCACCCATAGAATACAGCATAAGAGGTCTTATGTAGCTTTCAAGTCTAGACCAGAGGAGTCTACATGCTTCCTTAGATATTACTTCCTCTTGGCACACAGACATTAGACTATGGAAAAGTCAAGCTCATGGAAATGTCACAGAGAGACCACACAAAGAGTCTTCATGTTCCTGAGCTCAGCCTTTGAGCTAGCTCAGTCCAGCAGCCAGTCATGTAAGGGAGACGTCTCCAGGTAATTTCAGACCTCAGCCATTTGAACCATACCCAGACATTCCAGACTTCCCAGCTGTGACTCAGACACCACGAACAAAACAGATGTGCCTTGCCTAATTCCTGGCCCACTGTAATAAAATCGCCATTATTATATGCCAGAAGGTTTGGAGACATTTTACAATGCAACGATGGACTAGTAGAACTCATCTATAATTGCATCTGTTTATAAATAATTTAATGAATACGGAATAAAACATAAACATACTTCGTTCCCAAATACTTCTCACTTTCACAGAGGGAGTAATTATTATCTGTATTTCACTTCCAACTTTTAAATTACTCACAGGAAAAAAAAAACTTCACTTTTTAAAATCACCTTTATCATCCAATTAGTAGGATACTTTTTGTATGGAGAAGACATGTAAAAAAGTTTAATCAACTTGATATGTATTGGGAAAAAGCTCGCAAATAGAGGAATTTATCATAATATAAAATATCTATAGTGTTTTATAAGATAAAGTATTCCTGGTCTTCCAAAGGAAGAGGGTACATGAGTGATGAAGATTGGACTGCTTTTGAGTAGCAAAATGATGTATAAATTCATTGCTAGTATTAATGATGCTATATATACACCTACTGGTGATAATTTATGATGCCAAATAATGGAAATGAGATCAAGCATGAGAATAGACTCACGTTAGTGCTTCAGAGTAATTATAATGAGGTGTAACTCCCAGAAACTTCTGGACTTCATCCATCACAGTAGCTGGGTCAGATCTCAGCTGTTGTCCATCAATAATTAGCAACTGCCAAGTCAAAAATAGTCACTTCAGGAAGAACAAACTAAATGGAATAGAGTGAGTTCCCTCTCTTGACCTGGGATAGCTTGAATAAATTAGGTCAGCATGAAGAAAGCATGCATTCCTTAGACTACATTTTAACTGTTTGCTATTCTTACATCTTTCAAATTTACAGTAATTAAAGTTTCCCTTAACTTGCAATTGTTTGTGAGTTATTCAGTAATAGCCCTTAATGCAGTTTATTCTCAATCAGAAGCAAATGGAGAAATTCTCTTGACTCAGCACTTCAGTTGGACCAGGATTCTTCCATGCTGGTGTATATAATCAGATAACTTTCCAGCCCACTGCATTTCCCTTGAGCATACCCTGCGGCTTAGGGCTTAAACACTCATCAATTCTTTGTCTAAAAATTATCTTATGTTAGTCATACAGGGGAGAATTTCATTGTTACATCTCCATAAATGTACCCCCTGTATTCTAACCAATATCACCCTCTCCTAGCTATTCTCTGCCTCACTCCCCATCTATTATTATATAGCAAGAGGAGGGTTATGTGTAGAGGAAACTTGTTTCTGACTTTCTGAACTTGGTCCTCTGCCCTAGAATATTGGATTTGTCTGATATTCCACATGGAGCTTCAATGGAGCCTGAGGCTGGGGTGAAAACTAGCGGGGGATGTGATGCTTTCCTCAAGTTCTTATTTCTGGTTCTAAACTTTGACCCCCTAAGCCATTATAGCACTTCCCATTATGACAGATTTCTGAGCTCCTTCCTTACCCGGGTCCCCAGGGCAGGAATCTGGGAAGTTGTTGCCTGTGAATCATCTGACTTCTCTTTGGAGAGAACTTTTCACTTAAAGATCATCCGTTTCTAATTAAAAGACCCCACATCTGTATTTCAGAGCCATCTAACAGTGTTCTATTAGCCCTAGTAAAATTATATATATCTATATTATATACACATACATATCTATCTATATATCTATATATAAGGTCCTTGGTTTGTTGTCACATTGTCTCTGATTTTTAATTATTACCTGTAGTAGCCCTTATTCTCATTTTCTGCTAGTCAGTGCAATGTAGTCATGATCAAATACACAGAGAAAAGCCATTTCAGGACATTACCTGGGAAGTCGCAAAGTAGGTTAGCCATCTCTCTATGTGGACTGCATACCATCCTGGCACCAGACATCTCCTCTGCAGTGTTTTCAAGTCAGATGGGGCCCATTGCCCTGTGGTAATAACTTCATAGAAATTAAACCTCAGGGCTGCTGGATCTTCATGAGACCGTTGATGCTGTAAATTAAAAAAAACTCAAATGTAAAATTATTATTATTATTATAATTTACCAGTCCTGAACTCAGGGCCTGGGCATTGTCTCTGAGCTTTTGCTCAAGGCTAGCACTCTACCACTTGAGCCACAGTGCCACTCGCAGCTTTTTCTGTTTATGTGGTACTGAGGAATCATGGCCAGGGTTTTATGCATGCTAGGCAAGCACTCTACCACTAAGCCACATTCCCTGCCCATAAAATTACTTTTAATTGAAAAAGTGGAGGAAGTAGAGCTGTGTGGCTCGAGGGATAGAACACCAGTCTTGAGGAAAAGAGCTAAGGGAAAGTATCCAGGTCCTGAGAACAAATGTCAGTGTGAGTATGCTTTCATAGGTGTGTATACATGTGCATGATGAGTGTTTATTTAATGTATCCTTATCATTTCACACAGTAACAAATATTACTTAATTTTGTTGGGTGCTGGAGGTTCACACCTGTAATTCTAGCTACTCGGAAGGTTGAGATCTGAGGATCATGGTTTGAGCACAGCCTTGGCAGGAAAGTCTATAAGACTCTTATCTTCAAAAAACTACTCAAAAACCAAAAGCTGGAAGGAGATCCATGGTTTAAGTGGCAGAGCACTAGCCTTGAGCAAAAAGAAGCTCAGAGGCAGTACCCTGATCCTGAGATCAAGCTCAAGAACTGGCACACACACACAAAAAATATAGAGGCAGACACACATGTCTGTGTGTGTATGTGTGTATCTTGATTTTTTGAATGAAATGCATGATAAATGCTGCACACATATAAATAGGTCTTAGCCCTTGGCCTATTTCACTATTTAGGGACACTTTGAAGTATCTTCAAATACAAACCTTCACACCATATCATTGATACTCAGATCAAGCCTGTTTATCGCTTCATCAAAAATGCTTCATTACAAAGGCCTTCACTTTTGATTAGAAGTGAAACAATGTCAAAATCAAGCCTGATGAAAAGAGATTAAATGAGTAAGAGTTAGCTAACATCATGACTCTCACTTGTTTCATTACGGCTACTCCAGGAGGTCCTGACAGTTCTGAGTTTCTCTACCTGGCTGGTGTTAATTCTAGTGCTCACTTAAGTATCATGTTCCTGATGATATAGCTCCAAATCCTGTTGCTTTCCCCATGAGATTCTCCCTAAAAATGCTAATTTTCAGATACTGCTTCACTTCTACATTTCAGTTCCAAATCCTCAGACCAATCCATGGTTGCTTCAAACAAGAGAGAGCCAACTTGGTGAGAGATGGTTTTATCAGTCAATACAGAAGCATCTATTGGGCCCCTTTCTAGGACAAAGAATAGCAATATATTCTGGAGATTAAACAAAAAGATGTAAGAAAAACATAAATCATTGTCTTCACAGAAGTCAAATCTAGTGATGGAGAAAATAGAGTAATAGATTGTAATGAAGTCATGTGTTGGACTGGAGATGGAAAGATTCTTGCTCTGACAGCCAGGCCAATAAGGGATTAATTCAGCCACATAGAAATAGGAGCCAGTTATATACACAAGGAAATTCTACTCCTCCATCAGAAAGAATGATATTGTGCTATTTGTAAGGAAATTGAAAGACTTGGAAAAAATTATATTAAGTGAAGTAAGCCAGACCCAAAGAAACACAGGCTGCATGGTTTCCCTTATTTGTGGTAACTAGAATGTGCCTATAAATCTACAAGCAGACATATTGGATGGGAGAAGGCAGAAAAGAAAAACAATACACAGGGACATAATAAACTATGTAAGTCTCTCGATATTCACACAGTGAGACCAAAGGAGGCTATTCTTAGGAGAGGATCACCAAAGCTGAATCACTATGTACATATGATCATATAAAATAATATTTATTGGAATGAACTCCAGGAAGTGGAAACAAGAGGATACTTTTTCTTTGTTGCTGTTTTGTTTTCTGTACCTTTGTCTTATTTGTAAGTTTATCTCTTTTTGGGATGGGAAGGGGAGCACAGAAATAGAGACAAAGGGTGGAGAAAGGCAGGAGTGGTAATCAACTAGACTATGGAACTTGTGGGTGGGGATGGGAAGAAAAAACTGGGAGGGAAGAGATGACACTGGTTAAAAAGAAATGTACTCATTACCTAACTTATGTAATTGTAACCCTTCTTTCTATATCACTTTTGCAATAACAATAGAAAAATACACACATTTCTAAAAAAGAAAAAAAAGGAGCCATTTATAGTGGCTAAAGCTTTTAAGCTAACATGTCATGAAAATGATTTTGATAACCAGAAACAAAACAAATATGGGAACTAAAAGGACTTTATCAGATAAAATAAGTGAAGGTCAATGAGGTGTATGGAGGTAAGCAAATTGATTTCATCTACGATATTCCTATGTATCTACAAAGGAATGTGAAGAGACGTTAGTGGAGGAGAGCCAAAGAATTATATCAGGTTCTGAAATGTTTGATGATATTGGGCCTTTGTAGGAATACTGGGTCTTAGGTGTGAGTTTAGAAATAAAATTTTAGAAATAGAATAGCTAGAAAAATAAAACTGATTTAGTAAGTGCTGATTTTTGGAAGACATGGCCAAGAGTAAATAAGTAGGTAGCAGATTGTTAGTATCATATGTATATACCTTATGCTGAGTATGTAAGATGACTCAGTTCCATGTGCAAAATAGACTATAGTAAAACTAAAGGCTCTATTATAATCAGTGCTAATATAAAGCCACACTTAATCTGTTCTATACTGATTCATACCAACTTTAGTGCTAACTTTTCCTTATATGCTTGCAACTAAGATTAGTATAAAAAATATGACCAGGTAGTCACAAAAGGACATATTTTATGGGGGAAAATAGCATTTTAGTTCCTCAGTGAGGTCCATTATTAAAAAAAAGTGGGGTAGAAATTACAGTAGCAGGTGGCATTTGTAGAAGTTTTGAATCACACCTGCTGAGTGGTAGATTTATGGTATTTACGGAATAGACAGGACTAGCTAAGTAATAAGCTACATTATTTTGATATGTTGGGCACTCTGGGGCCTTGCTCTCAGCCACATGGCACTAAAAAGTATTATCAGAAAAAAAATAATTCCTTTCAAAGCTGCATGTTCAAAGAATTTATTTGGAAAGGCAAGCACAGAGAAGCACTCTCAGTATAGAGGTTCCATGAATTCATAGACGTGAAAAAAAGCCTTCTTTAAGCAGTAACTATTTCTGCGATGGAAAAACTCAACATTTTCCTCAATTACTTGAATTCAAAAATTTTAATTAAGGTTTAACATTTGTAATACTTTTGACACCATTAAAAGAAACACACACACACACACACACACACACACACACACACACACACACACATACACTTGCCCTTAAACTGAGTGCTGGTGGCTCATACCTGTAACCCTAGCTACTTAGGAGGTTGAGATCTAAGGACTACGGTTAAAAGGCAGCTTGGTCAAGAAAACTCATGAGTTTCTTATCTCCAGTCTCCCACCACAATGCCAGAAGTAGAGCTGTGACTCAAGTGGTCAAGCCATACCATGAGAAAAAAACAAAACAAAACAAAACACCAAAAAAAAACCCCACAAAAATCTCAGTGACAGCACCCAGTACCTAAGTTCAAGGCCCAGGACTTGCATACACACCCACACAACAGTTCATTTTAGCCACCTTTTGCTATCTATATGAATTAAACAAAGCATACACAAACACAAAAATATTCTCCCATAGTTTGGGTTCATGTTATTTCCATAAATTGAAGAGTACCAAAGGACATTTTAAATATCTATAGTCAATTTTATTTCATTCTTGTACAAAGATTCAACCCTCCCTCCACGTTCTTCTCCTTAACATGCTCTTTCATCAAGGTATTTCCCTGACTTTTACCAGATGAATTCATTTTAGATTTCTCAAAGGATAGGCCATAGAATCATTTCAGATTGTTTGTTCCAAGTCTTGGAAGGAATATTTCCAGGAACTTTTGTCTCATCATCTGTCCCTCAAGATTGAAACAAGGATTTCTTAGAGGCCAATCACTGAATCCAATAGACTCAATTAATTTAGACTGACAAAAATTAAAATAAGCCTTTTATTTACAGTATCCCATAAGCAAAGTTCAATATTTCCTTTACTTGTAAATGTATATAACAGTTATAGTAATTAATGTAACAGTGATCTTTTTTACCATCTATAAATAATTTTATATGACCTGACAGGCTTTTTTTGCAGGTGTATTAAAATGTTGTTTCTACATCCATCTCATCTCAAATCTCTCACTGGAACTTGTCATTCAGTAGTTTAATGAATGGAGTTAACAGTTATTGTTTAAAAATGCTTATGATTGTATTTCTAGATGGTTGTTTTTTGTGATTCTATGCATTATGTTTTTGAATTATATTTCTACTTATTGAACCATCTATGTACTCTTTCCTAGAGTTCTTTGGGTTGCTCAACTATTTTCTCTCTGAGACCTTTTGTTTCTCATTTTCTTTGGAAATGTTTCATCTTAAATTCAAATTTTCCTTCATCCCACTTACTCCGAGGTAACAGGCTTATGTCTCATTTCTCCCTTACTTTTGTTTTGGAATCATTCAGATTTCTTTTTTTTAATTGACATACATGAATTGGATTCCAACGTGACATATTTCTGCACGTATATAATATCCTGGGACCATACTTATCTCTTCTATGACCCTTTCTTTCTACCCTTGCACCCCATTCTTTTGAAGGAAAATTGTCTAGATCATTTAAAACCTACTTTTATAATCGAGATTCTTTGACTTCCTTTTATTATTTACTTTCCTGAGCATCAGTAGCAAAATGATGAAGTAAAGTTTTGCATTTGAGTTTTAAAATTAGCATATGTTAATAATACAAGGGGATTTCCTTGTGACTCTGGTATAGATGCATAATTATTGAAGAAGTTCACCCCTCCCATATATTCTTATTCTCTTTTCCTCTCTCATATTCAAGAAGTGTTTGGTGAGTTTCTTTAGGTTGTATGTGAGTGCATATGTTTATACGTATATGTGTATGTTTATATACACATAGCATACTTGCAACTTATTCATCTTTCAATATTCTTTCTTTTTTCTATATTCCTCCAACTGATTGCTCCAACAAACCATCATATTGCATTCATATCCCATAATTACTATGTTATTTTTAATTTCACACACACCTAGGATTCTAAGGGCTATTATTAAACTGAGTTACATTTATTTTGTCTCTTGTCCCTGAATTTATATTGTGACTGCCTAGTTATGCAATTGTTTATCATATGCACAATTATATATTATGTAATACATTTTATGTAATACATTCTAATACATATCTACTATCTTTTTAAAGCCAAAAATCAAGGGGGAAATAATTTGCAGCAAGATGAATCAAAATTAAATTCTAAATGTCTTTTAGTGGCATGAGTCTAAGTGTAGCAAGCAGACAAGACAAATGTCCTGAAAGTACAGGGTAGGCATCTAAAGACTGAATTTTTGTTTCTTTGGAAGTGAGAACTTGACAGGGTTTCTCACTCTTGCCAGCACACACTCTACATCTGTGCCTAAACAACAAACAAATGAGCATGCTCACACCGGCTCAATTCACACTTCTGAGTGTTCTACAAGTGCAGCCAATATCCGGCCACTTGCACCCTCAATGGAATACATGTGGCTTTGCTCTTCTCCTTCTGTTGGCAGGGATCCTTAGAGACAGACTTTTAGTTTAGTTACTTCTTCACAGACTAATGTTTTACATGTTTACATGATTTAGACAAACCATTCTTTGCAGTATGATTTTTTCCTGTGATGTTACGCCTAAAAGTCTTTGTCCAATTTGTTATATGTTATATATTTAATTCTTTAGAGACAGATATTTTTGTTTAGTGTTTAGTTGCTTTAAAATTTGAACCTTCAGTGCATCGGGGCTTTATTCTGGTGATTCTTTCATGCTCCAAATAGATGCTTTTAGCATGTCCTTCCTCCTTCCTTCTTCCTTCCTGCCTTCCTGCCTTCCTTCCTGCCTTCCTTCCTGCCTTCCCTCCTTCCTGTCTTCCCTCCTTCCCGCCTTCCCGCCTTCCTCACTTTATCTTCTCTCTCTCTCTTTCTGCTTAGTAGAACTGGGGTTTGAACTTGAGGCCTTAGACTTGACAGGAAGGTGCTCTATCCCTTGAGCCACACCTGAGCCAGAAGATTTTGTTGTTGTTGTTGTTTTCATTGAGCATACCTGGTACCAAGAATATGCCCTATCTGAGGGGTCAATGAGGATAGTGATGATCTTGGCTTTGGGGATGAGAGATGCAGCTCTCCGGGGAGCATCTTCTGAATGGAAGTAATTAGCGCTCTTTTCAAACAGAAAATCACTTGTAAGGTTGGAAGGTGTAGGGAAAAAGTCCATATACCTGAAGGCAGAGAGAAAAATAATTCATTAGCTTGGGATCTTCTTTTCTTGTCCTCTGGATGAGAATTAATTTGTAACTTCTAATTACTGTGTAATAAGATAATTCAAATGATGCTTTTTCTGTATACTTCTAATGTTTTATAAACAAAAAATTATTGCTTTTATGATTAATTTTAGGCAGGGAAATGATAGAATTGGAGTGAGAAAGAAAAGAAGATGATCTGTGGTACCACAAGCCAACTCTAGAAATACAATTGACTTCTGGAAAAGGTGGGGAGGGAGGGAATCTTACCCTTTCGCTTGGATATTTTAAGATTGTAAATGTGTGTTTGCAAATTTGAAGGCCAAACTTGTACGATGAGATTGAAGTTTACATGACAGAAAGATGTGTAAGCCAAAATATCTATAAAATTCTAAACTGATTAAGGCGTAGCCATTCTCCTTTAAAAAGAAAAAAAATAACACTTCTGTATAATCTGTAGTGTATGTTACCATGTGAGCACATTATCGTCTATCTACAGTAATTAAGAGGATTTTTCCTGCCAGTTGATCCTGCCGTGCGTCGGTAGGTTCACTTCCCCATATGCTGTCAGAACATTCTTCTGTGTGTAGGTTATAGAATCAATATATTCTGAGGTTAATTCAGTACAAGGCTTTAATTATGTACATAACCCTCCTTACAGCTCCTCACTTCTCTAACCCTCAAATGTTCTAGAAATAAATAATGAGAGCAATTAAGAATTCATATAAGACACTTATTTTCCTCTTTGACATTTGTTATTATGTTTCCCGAATGTGGAGTGCAGAAGAGAGCTCATCTATATTCCTGCTTAACAATTTGTGTTCCATTCGAGCTCACTGATAAGAGGGAATTGCCTTTCTGACTTTGGTAACTTGCAGACAATGCTCAAACTTGTTCAGCCTGTTCAAAGCAAGGCAGATGGTCATATTCTAGATGCAAAGAGGGAATGTTTCTGCTCACAAAGGGAAGATGAGTCTGCTCACCAGCTTTGTTTCTGCCCAGTGTTAACCATTGCTACTTCTGAGAAAGAAAGATAGACTCATGAATGAGGATGACATACAAGATTACAGTCTACAAACATGCACACTGAGGAAATTTTTCCACCGGTGAGATTTGCCTTGTTTACTTGCAAGTCAAATCTAAGATTATATTTTCCTAGGAAATTGGAATCGAACTAGAAAAATGATTGCCAGAGTGATGATCATCTCCAATATCAAGTTTATTCCATTTCATACATGAAAAATGTTATGGTAATGTTTTCATAATTTATCAATTGCAAATTAGTATTTCTCTCGTGCATGTGAGTGACTAGAATTGATATCGTTTGGGGAATGCTCAATTATCATTTGTGTGAGAAATATGTGTTGCGGTATAACACATACAGTTTATGTGGTTAATGGAGATACAAGTCACAGAGTATAAAATAAAGCAACCTACTGATTTATTTGAATCCACCAGCATCATTGTGAGGACAAATTATGTGTGAAGAAAATGTAGTCTGTGTAAAATAATAGTATGCTTAAAGAGAATTTTAAATATCCTTATGAATAATTCTGGTGAAAAAATATCCCATAATGTTCTTTATTCAATCATTTTAACTTACCAGAAAAATATTATCATTATTGCACTGTCCAAATCAAATTATAGGCAACACTGATTAAACATATCATCATTATAAATTAATTTCTAATTCACTGTGGTAGAATTGAGCATAACAAATTTATTCTTCAATTATGCAGATGCCATGCATACATCTGTAATTGGTCTGTAGTGATGGAGCATGTGTTCATAATAGAGTTTATTTTCTTTGTTGTTTTCCTTACCAGTCGATTCCTTTGTGGTAGTTGTTGCCATTAAAAAATTGAACTTCTTCGAATGTTTTTGGGCTGGGGAGGTTGCCGATGATGGAAGGGTGCATAAGAAGAAATAAATAAAGTGCGGTTGTTCCTATTACAAAGAGGAAGGTAGAGGTTATATGGGAATAAGTGAAAAAGTAAGACAGCAATTTATCTCCAATAATAATATTTAGAAGGCCAACTCAGATGTCAAAGTGGTCTCTTTAACATCAGGTTCATTTCAACGTAGGAATATTCCAACTGGTGTGTGTGTGTGTGTGTGTGTGTGTGTGTGTGTGTGTGCATGTTATTAATCACTGTGGTTTTATTTGCACTAATAAAGTGGTCTGATGATCCAGCTGGGATAGAATTCCAGAAGCTAGGTGATTTAATTTCCCTTCTGGAGTTAAATGGTTAAAAACATAAAAGACATGGGCTGTCTCTATCTCTATTTCTAGAAACAGACATAGTACCTGAATCTGGTAGGCCTTCCATTGACAGTTAAACTTGAGCCAAACAGTTCAAATAGATTGAGTTAATAAAGAAAAATAGAAAGAGAGAGGGAAAAGAAATATTTGAATCATGAAGAAGAAAAGGAAAGAGATTGAGAGGGAGAGAAACAAAAGAAATCGACTGACTTGTCCTTAGTAATTAAATGTGGGCACATACAAGCACTAAGAAATATTTTTAAGTTGTTGCTGGATATCAATAATGGATATTCTATACTATTCTATAAACCCATTCATTACTATGAAGAGCTGTTTCATTATCTTCAAGTAGTTGTACAAAGTGGCTTAAATTCAGCATGTCATTTCATAAGGATAGTGCCTCTTGGTCAATGTCAACCCTCCCATTATTCTCTAAAAAAATGTACAATCACCCTCTCAGTCATTCCTAGGTTTCCCCTTGGAACTAGAAACTCTCCACTTTCTGTTCAGAATCTTATGCCTTTGCTGGGAGCTGGAGGTTTTCAGGAGTCCTCTGAGTAGAAGAGAGATAAAGCTCTCCCAACAGGAAAAAGGGATATGTGGTTTTACATTGTATCATGAGCCATGAAATTTTCGGTTTCAATATTTTTGTGAAAGAAATCTGAAGGCTTCATACATGCAATCCTCTAAAAGAAAGTATATATATACACATACACATATATTTACATATATATGTATATATATACACATGTATATATATGCTCTTAATTTCAATATACCAGATTAAGCCAGCTGAATCAAGAAAAGTTTATAGTACTGACCATGGAAACACTGATCTTCTGGAAGATTTAAGACCAATGAATTATGCTCTAAGAATTATTGTGCTAAATTTAACCTTATGAAGAAAGAAGACATCTTCTTCTTGCACTGGTAATATTACAATTTGACTCTTAAGGATCAAGGATGCAATGCTGTCCTGAGGCACATCAAACAACCGCAATGTGAAACTCAAATACAATTAAGTCCAAGGCTGCCACATGTCTACTAATGTTTTTTCCCCACCCTTACTCCCTCAGTTTCAGCAAACAAAAATCCCTTGTAATATTTGTGCCATGGCAAATTGGAATACCTATCCATCCATCCATTCTCACCCCATACCAGCTGAACAGATAGGAGTTACAGGTTCATTTTTGGAGCTTCTTTTTATTGTAAGGGTTGCATGCACCATGCTGAAATTGCTGAAAGCCAGTGCACTGAAAGGCCAGATTGTTAGCATTTGTCTGTGACTCCCCTCCAGGGAATTACAGTCTCTGAAAGCCATGGAAGTTTTGCCAACTAAAGCAATACAGAGAACTTAATATGACTCACACTTCTATATTGGATTTTAAGAATTTTTCTATTTCCGTATTGGAATAATATATTCATAGGAGGTAAGATATGATATTAGTATCCAATTTCTTTCTCTCTTTTTGCCTTCTTATTTGTTCTTTTGTCTGGAAAAAGTCAAAATAAGCTAAATATTTCATCATTGCCATACTAGTAGGTCAAATATTAAAATCTTCATGTATAACTTATTGTTTTTATAAATACAAACAACAAGAAGGGAGCAGATTTATAACTATGAACTTGTAATTTTTCTAGCAGAACTAAAAAGTAAAATCAGTGACAAATGATAGAGAATATCTTTAAATTAAAATGTTCACATAAATTTTACAACACAGAAATGTGTTATTTCTTTAGTTGTGCTGGCAGAGTTAGTAGTGAAGATATTAATCACCAACAAAAATATGATCTATCTGAAAATATGTGGTCCTTTTTTCTCCTCTATGGACATGTGTTAACGTACTGTTGTAATACAATTCATATTCCTAGAGGAAGAAAAGATTTCAACAACCAATATCTAATAGTCTGGAAATATTGCCCACAACCTTTAAAATGATCTACTTGCTTATATTACAAATATCTTCATTGGAGCTGGGCTTATTTGTTGTGACTTTGTTTTGTGTTTCGGTTTGTGCACTCACAAATAAAAATGCTTGTAGTTGAAGTAGTGAATTCAAAATGCAGCAACTCAATAAAAACTTTAATTAATCAGGACATGAGCAAAGTGTATAAAACTGTCACATCTAGAAGAAAGTATAAAATATTCTAATTGAAAGTGTCATCCCATTGGTGAGTTACTTTCTCTTTTACTATATTCTATCCCGGTGTCCTTCAGTTCAGGAGAAAATTTCAAGGAAAAATGTTTAGGGAGACATTGTTGTTATCAGAAAATGAGTCCAACATATTAACATTGAGTGATTATTTAAACAAATTAAAACACAACTGCCAGGTTTGAGTGGCTCATATTTGTAATCCTAACTACTCTTGAAACTAAGTTCCAAGGATCAACATAAGAAGCCAGGCAGGACAGGCAAATCTGAGAGATTCTTATCTCCAGTTAACCACACAAATGGTAACTGATACTGTGGCCCAAGTGGTAGAATGTCAGTTGTAAGCAAAAAAAGTTTAGCAAGAGCACAAGGTCCTGAATTCAAGCCCCAGTACCAGCAATCATACATGTGAAATATCAGTGTCATCATAATGGCTGTATCTCTGAATAAACATCCACACAAGGAGAGTATGCAGTGTAAAATATCTTAAATTTATCCAGATCACTTTTGCATAATTGAATTTGGGAATTAATTAAGCAGAGCCACAAATTTTTTTTTAAATGAGAATTTCAGTCAAACACTGGTGGTTCATGATTGACATCCTACTAGTCAAGAGAATAAGAGTTGATGATTGAATTCAAAGCCAATGTGGGCAGAAAAGGCTGGGAGAACCTTATTTCCAACTAACCAGAAAAAAAAAAAATCACAATCAGCTGGGCACTGGTGGCTCACGCCTGTAATCCTAGCTACTCAGGAGGCTGAGATCTGAGGATCGTGGTTCAAAGCCAGCCCGGGCAGGAGAGACTGTGAGACTCCTATCTCCAATAAACCACCAGAAAACCGGAAGTGGCGCTGTAGCTCAAGTGGTAGAGCGTTCGCCTTGAGCTGAAGAGCTGAGGGACAGCTCCCAGGCCCAGAGTTCAAGCCCCACGACCGACAAAAAAAAAAAAAATCACAATCAGAGTTGTAACTTAACTGATAAGAGCATCAATCTTGAGTGAAAAAGCCAAATTACAGAGTGAGGCCTTAAGTTTAACCACAGAACTGGTTTGTACACACATGTTCCTGCACGTACACACGCATATACACACAAATTCAAAAAGTATAACTGGTACAATGAAAATCAAAACGTTCAAAGTATGACATTTATTCCAATGCATCTAGTTTTCAACTACAACTTTGTGGTTAAATAATTTAATGCTTACGTCATGGCCAGGTTACAGACCTCTTGAGAGTTGTGGAATGAAAGTGCTTCATGGAAAGAAATAAGAGCTCAAAGAACCCATAGGGACATCTAAGAATGTCACAAAATGAAATCTAATCCACTAGTGCCATACAAAAGTGTATCTCATAGTAACACAATTGACTATGCTTACCTGTTTTTACAATTGACTATGCTTACCTGTTTTTACAATTGACTATGCTTACCTGTTTTTTGTGGCCCAATTACGAGGAACTTTGGTAAATGGTCACAAGTTTTCTCCCTGGACCAGATGTCTCTGTGCCGTTTATCATCACATGGATTCTGCAAGAAGGAAGAATTACGAAACCTACTGAACTCTTGTCACTATTCCCTAACAATTATTCAAAAGACCTGATCAAATCCCTGCCTAATCTAGCACTAGGAATTAGACCCTCCTCTGGTTCTGTTATGTCCAAAGCTTTTCATACAATTTGATTGGCCGTTTCTCTTATCTCGAAGCTGGAACTCAGCTTCAGTGTTAATCCTGCTGTCATCATCCGATGTGTGCCACTCTGCTTATTGGAAGAGGTTACCCAAGTTGGAGGTGTATGTTTTCTCTCAATATCTCAGATGCCTTTTTTTTTTTTTTTTACTTATTCTGGTTTGATCACAGGTTTTTATAGCTTATTCTCATCTGTTTTGGAATATAAACATATTAGAGGCCAGCTATCCTTTTCCAAAGTTATTTCCCTTGACATAGACTGCTTAAAGATCATATTTGTCATATAAGTTGTTTTATATTATGATTCTTTTGATCATTTTGCCAAATACAAATGCTGCATAGTCACACAAAAATGAGTGCCATTCCTTGTATTTGTGTTTGTGTGTGCACCAGAGAACACTGAATGAAGAGAAGATGTGAAAAGCAGCCCTGGAAGCAGTGTTATTTGGTGAGTTACATTTCCAAGTTCTCCTTCACTCTTTTCTCATCATGCTAATAAAAAAATATTCATAAATGGAGCAGACATGCTAGCAGAAACAGAAGACATGTATGCATCTCCCTTTTCCACCTTTGGTCCAGTTACTGTTGTTGTTTACTGTTTCACTCAACAGGAACAGAGATCCTTTCTAAGGCTCATGAATAGCATGATTCTATCAATGTAGGATTGACTGTCTTGGTGACATTCACCCTCAAGAAGACAACAACTCAGATCAAGCCTGAGTGTAGTTAAAGGTAGCCATTTGGATTTCTCTGCCCTCATATCTTTGGCCCTCACAGAGCACCAGGCTCCCCACATCTGAACCATTGACATGTTCCATTAGAAAATATTGCTTCAGATCAAAGGATATGCCTACATTCTGAGAAAGGAAGTAAGGCCATGGGCCCCGGGATTAAGTCAGTGACTCTTACTAGTATTCCTAACCAAAATGCATTGTGGTAGCAACACCTCTTGAGACACATGGTTAAGTCTCCAGCTTGTAGATACAGTGGTCCCTTTAAATATAAAGCTCATATTTGGTGAGGTATCTCCACAGGGGAGTATAAGGAAGTCTAAGGATTAAAGAGTGGCACCTCTCAGCACCATTCTCAGTGAGCGTCTTGGAGAATCTGTGTTTTTCAATCTCACAACTTCTAAGTTCTGTGTCCCTAGGAATCCTAGTCTTCAAGGAGGGGTTCTTCCACTTGGGGGCCTGATCACAAAAGTGATCAGATCCTCTTCTCCAGGATACTCCTTATGGCAGTGACCGCTCACTCCATGAAATCTAAACACCGTCTTGAGCCAAATGCATTTTACACTCCTCCTCCAACCACCATAAGCAGGAAGTACAACAATCAGCAATGTATGAAGGCACCTGCGTTATGTTAGAATTTACTTTAGAAAAGCTTAAGAATATATCTCGGATTCTTTAAATCAACCTAGTGTCTGTAGAAACTACAACAAAACTTGGTCATTGTAGTAAATTCTATGCTGGTTTTACTTTACATCACAGTGATTTTATTTTGTTTTAGAAACTAGTGTTTATTTTCAACACTATTTCTACACAGTATTCTCTATAATCCAACGTTAGCTTAACTCTCTAGGCATGATTTTCTTTGTGGCAGAGAAGGTTCAACTATTCTATTCTTCAGGTAATAAGAGGACATTCCCCCCCCCCCCATTTTAATTTACAATTGCTCATATACTCTAGCTTTCTTCCAAGGAAGAATTTCAGTCCAGTCCAATTAAAAGTGACAAAACAATACAAAGTATCCGTGTGTGTGTGTGTGTGTGTGTGTGTGTGTGTGTGTGTGTGTGTGTGTGTGTGTTGGACCTAGGGCTTGAACTCAGGGCCTGAGAGCTATCCCTCAACTTTGTCCTCTCAACACTAGAGCTCTACCATTTAACCACAACTCTACTTCCAACGTTCTGGTGGTTAATTGGAGATAAGAGTTCTTAAGGACTTTCTTGCTCTGGCTGACTTTGATGTACGTTTGAAGTGTGATGTGAACCCTGCAGACAAGTGGCTTCATAAACACAGTCTTCACTGTGGCCCTTCATGGCAGTCCCAGCCAGTCTGTTCCTTTTTCAAAATTCTATTTTATTGTAAAGGTGTTACAGAAGAGGGGTTACAGTTACATGAGTAAGGTAATGAGTACATTTCTTATTGAACATTGTTACCCCCCTCCTTTGTTTTTCTTCTACTATCCTTTCCCTCCCCCACCTCCAATTAGTTCTTACTATATCCTCCTAACCTCATATTAGAACTTAAACATTGTTTTTATCACATAACCAAACTCCTTATTTATAAAGAACCTCATTGCTCAACTAATTTTTTCCCCTTCAGTCATGGGGCTTGAACTCAGGGCCTGGGCACTGTCCCTGAGCTCTTTTGGTCAAGGCTAGTACTCTACGACTTTGTACCACAGTGCCACTTCCAGTTTTCTGGTGGCTCATTAGAGATAAGAGTCTCACAGGCTTTCCTGCCTGGGCTGGCTTTGAACTGCAATCTTCAGATCTCAGCTTCCTGAGTAGTTAGGATTGCAAGCATAAGCCACCAGGGCTTGGCCCTCACCTCTAGTTTTTGCAATAAGGAGTTTCTATCATTTACACTTATTGAATTTCCCCACTGAGTAAATAATAAATATCAGAATAGGTATTCTGTTAGTTTGTGTAATGATGGTGTCTGTAGGATTAGTATAGATAGAAGAACAAAGCAATGGGCTAACCTGTGCCACTGGTGCAAGCCAGTCTTATCTGTGAAATCATTCCTGTTCATGTTGAGCAAGGCCACTGATATTCACTTAACCGATCGGAGTACACCCTCTTTCTCATTCTGATGGATGGTTGCAAGACAGATTAAATAGAATCTTCACAAAAATCAGTACAATTAATATATCTTCACTTGAAAGACTTTGCTTTGTCTCTGACATATAAATCCCTTCCCTTTGATATATAATGATGTGAGTTACTTCTGTTTGTTCTCTTCAAGATGCTAGGCTGATAGTAGGTTATCAACTAATATCATCCAAATGTTATATTTTTTGCTCTTCTAAATGTTTTTCTTCCCAATAATTCAATTTAAATTACTTCAATACTTCCTGGAGGTACACTAGAGTCTCTGGCATTTGTATTTCCCTACCTCAGTGGTCTATGTTCTTTCTCACTGTGTTCTTTCTAGGTTGTGAGATTTTAGCATTTTTCAGAGGCATATATTTCTTCTTTCCTCTCAATGTGACATATTTCTTCTTGCCTGTTAGTCACAACTTTATTAACAGAGTAGTTCTATTTCTCTGTGTGTGTGTGTGTGTTAGAAATATTTATTTAGACTATTCTTTATACTGTGTGAATATTTGAGAACCAACAGACAATATCCAACTTTTATTGATCATCTTGTGTATTTTCCAAGTACCTCCTGATTTAGATTACTTCTAATCCTCAAAGCAACCTGATAAGCCAGAAATTATTATCCCTTCCTTATAGCCAAGGAAACGGAGATGCAAGGTGTTTTATTTACATCATGCTGAAGGTCACACAACAAGTTAGTTTTAGCTTTTTATATGAAAGCCTAACTTGAGATAAACTCTGTGTGTGTGTGTGTGTGTGTGTGTGTGTGAAGTTTTACCAATCATTGGGAAGGTCAACATACCTCCTCAGGAAAATGTTAAACATTTCTCTTAACTTTTATTACTATTCTGTTGCTATTATTTTAAGTTTAAAAGTCAGAAAATTATAGAGAAATTATGTATATCCCTTCTCATCCTTCAATTGGATTGTTCCCTGCCAAACTAAAACTGCAATAATAGTAATTTACTGCTTCAAGTATGGAGTTTAAGGATACCCTTAAACTCTGAAAAAGGAATTTAGTTAAAATTGCTTTAGACAGCTGTGGCTGTAGTGCCAGGCTAGTAAATATGCTGAGAATTCAGCTTTCATAGAGATAAAGGTAAAGCCAATAGTTTCATACAAGAAATACACACACACACACACACACACACACACACACACACACGCACACACACACACACGTGTGTGTGTATTTACATATATATATATATATATATATATATATATATCTGAGACAAGCTTACTGATATGTTAACATAAGTAAGATAGAAAATTCTCTGAAGCAGAGAGGTGTGTTTACATATGTATATATTCACATATATGAGTATATGAACAATACATATGTTTATATATTCATATATTGATATATTGTGCATATATGTACATATACACATATACATATATATATGTGTGTGTGTATATATATATATATATATATATATATATATATATATATATATATGAAAACTGAAGTAGGAAAATTGACAGGATGGGTGGGACTTTAGGAGATGGGGTAGGATGGGAAAGGTTACATTGGTCAAGATGATGCATAATAGTTCTAAATTTATAAAACATGAATTAATTAATTAATTAAAGAGAAAGGCCAGTACATTTTAATACAATTATGTTCCTTGGGGGGGGGGGGCGCAAAGCACTCATCTTTTTCTCCTTCAAAAAAACCAAAATTACAAAATCTGCAATCAAACCAATGACATAGATTTTTTTAAAAGCTATCGCATTGCCTGTCTTAATTTGAAGTCCATGTTGTTACAGATACACAAAATTATCTTTTGGTCTTCTTAGATCTACTTATCCCAGACCTACATTTATTTCTTGCTTTTATATTTATTTTTGCTTTTAAAATCACTATTGTGTTTATTATCTCTCCACACCCTTCTTAGACAAGGATACAGTGGAATTCTCAACTTGAGGTTGATTCAACCCATCCGGGTCACATGCCTATTCTAGATAACCAGGACTTAGGTAAGCCTAATGCTAAAAACACCCGGTGTTGTG